CCATCATTCTCAAACAGTTGTTGGCTGAAGATTCATTTGATGAATCTGATTTTTCCAAAATAGACAATTCTGATGATTCAGATGATTGTGATGTTAGTTATGTTTAGAAATAACTCCAAAAGCAGTTTTTAAATTTTATTTTCACATTGAAAATCAGTCAGATTTGCTTTAGCCTCAAAAAGCTGTTTATGTAAAATTAAATGAGTGCTGGTAGGCAATTGTACTTTTTTTTCTAAATGGGAAAAGGGATAAAGATGTCACTCCATTGTTTCCCAGCTTGCATTGTTTCTGTCAAGAAGTCTAATGTTACTCTTATGATTGTTCATCTATGTGTAATATGTATTTTTTCCTCTGGTTGCTTTTAATATTTCTCTTTATCATTAGTTTTGACCAATTTAAGAATGTACGCAGGTGTTGTTTTCATAGTTTATTGTGTTTAGACTCTGTTGAACTTCTTCAATTTGTTCATTTATGGTTTTCAACATCTTTAAACAAATTTTGGCCATTTTTTCGTCAAATACATTCTTCTATTTTCCCTTATTTCTTTTGAAAACTCCAATCACATGGACATTAGGCCATGTCAAGTTGCTTCACAAGTCACTGGTTTTCTTTTGTATTTTTGTTTATTTGCTTCTCTGTGCCTTATTTTGCATAGTTTGTTATTGATATGTTTTCAAGTTTAGGATATTTTGTTTTCCAGGCTGTAATCTGCTATTAAACCTATCCAGTATAATTTTGATTGCAGGTATTGCATTTTTCATCTCTATACATTTGTTTTTGGTCTTCTCATATAGTCTATATTTCTTTTTAATATGTTTATATACTTTCCTCTAATTTCTGGAACTTATGGAATACAGGTATAATTACTGTTTGTCTGTCTATTAATTGAGTAATCTGTGCCATTTCTGCATCTGTTTTAATTGACTGCTTTCCACCCCCACTTCCTCATTTAGAGTTACATTTTTGTGATTTAAATGGCTAGTAATTTTTAAAATTAGATGCCAGATATTGTAAATTTGACCCAGTTGGATTTTCTTGTATTTCTATAAATATTCTTGAGCTTTATCTGATTCTTTTAAGGTTTGCTTTTAAGCTTTTATAGACTGGACCACTGCAGGCTTCAGGGCTAATTTTGCCCCAGTTCTAAGGCAATATCATGAGTCTTCTACTTGCTGCTTTGTGAGCAATAACTATTTCTTGCCCTTCATGAGCTCTTGTGATTATTCCCTTTTATTCTTTCCCCTGTCTGTTATTTTCCCCTGGTCTTGGGATAGTTTCTGTATACAATTGCACTTATCAGTACAGAGCTGAAGACTCAAGGATATCCTCTGCATATTTCCAGGATACTCTCTCTGTTCTGCTCTTTTTCTCTGGTACTTTGTCCTATGAACTTCACCTTCCTTGGCCATTCTAGACTATGAGTTCCATCTTAACTTTAGAATGCCAGGCAATGCCTGCATTCTCCCTTTGTACACTGAAGCTTGGAAACTCTCACCAGTAAGTAATCTGGGGACAACATTATGACTCACTTGTTTGTTTCACTATTCTTCAGGATCACTGTCCTGTATTGCCTGATGTCTGATGCTTGAAAATCATTATTTCATTTATTTTTTATAGTTTTTGCTGTTACTATTGTTTCTAGAGAATAAATCTGGACCATGCTTTTTTTTTTTTTTTTTAGCTTGACTAGACTCTCACTCAGTATTTAAGAATTTTATTAGTTTCATAAATCTAACTGTACAGACTTACATTTATCTCTATGAATTGCATATTATCAATTTTGTTCTTTTAAAGTATCTCTAATTTTGTCTTTTTTGTTTTAATTAATATGAAAAGTTAAGCATTATTTTATATGTTTGTCATACAGATAAGATATGTAGTTTAGAATAAAACCAGAGACAGAGTTCTTAGGCCTTCTACTAGGGATCAACCTGAAGTTCTTCTCAAACCATTAACAAATGATCTTTTGAGAAAAATGATCCAGAGTTGCAGAACTACTTTATATTAACAGTATGGGAATTACTTGCTCCTTTTTTCCACAAAAGCAATAAGAGAGTCTTCATCATTTTATTTGCCAAAGTTAAGATATTCTGTATTTATGGCCTCCCCTTTTCTAAATATAGAAACAATCAAAATCAGAAGTTAGTATGTTCTATATGGCCTGCTCTTAATGAATTCATGTTGGTGTCTTTGCTTCCAAACAGTTCTGTAATTGATTCCAGAATTGGTCTAAAATCTGCATTGAGATTATAGAAATTAATAGCTTCCAGATTCTACCTTTTCCAAAAAGGTAACACTTGTCCATTTCTGGCTATCATTGGTTCTACTTATTACGACTTTTCAAAGATTGCCAACAATGTTTCAGGGATTATATTGTACATTTTTCAATATCCTGCTTATTTTCTTCAGGATATTTTGGTATATTAACCAATTATGTGAGGCTCTTTCTATATTCCATACAATGAAAACATGGATAAATTTTTTAAAAATTATGGCCAGGTGTGATGGTAGTCACAGACTATCACAAGTCCTCCCCGCATTTTGGGAGGCCAAGGTGGGTGCATTGCTTGAGCTCACAAGTTTGAGACCAGCCTGGGCAACATGGCGAACCCATCTCTACAAAAAATACAATAATTAGTCCAGTGTGGTGGCATGCACCTGTAGTACCACTTACTTGGGAGTCTCAGGTAGAAGGATGGCTTGAGTTCAGGAGGTAGAAGTTGCAGTGAGCCAAGATCACACCACTGCACTCTAGCCTGGGTGACAGAGCCAGATCCTATCTCAAAAAAAGGAAAAAAAAAATTCATTTGTGTCAGATAATTTGGATGGAATTTAAACGTTTTTCTTATATAACCCATCCTATATTTATTTTTAAGATTGTCAGTCTTACTACTATTCTTCATATTGGAGAAAAAAGAAAAAAAGGAACTGAGAATCCTGCTTTTTTTCTGTTATTTGTTAGCATAGTTTGTTGCCTGCATAATTAAATAATACTTGATGTCCAAGTAATGTTCCTAACTTGTCACTGCTGCCTTCCTTTGTAAAACGTAATCTAAGCTGCCATTGCTGTTTTTCTTTGTTTATGAGGTAAGTTGTTAGCTATCTGTGGCATTTTTCTTTTCTTTTGGGCATGTCTTGGTTCATTCTGTGATACTTAGCTTTCCTAACAGTATTCATACAAGTCTCAACATTCTTATGGGCTCACATCACTCCTAAATGCACTAAAATCAGCATACACTAGTAATGTTTTATCCAGAATAAATCACCATAAAGCAGCACACAACTGATTGCATGCTGTAAGAACTGGGTTTATTATTGATCAGAAATTTAACTTTTGCCTATATACAAAGTAAATCCATGTATAATAATATCTAAAATCAAAGTTTGGGCCTTAGTGAGCTTGTATAACAATGGCCTCAATAATTGAATAAGAAATTCCCTGGAGGGGATTAATATAAATACATAAATAAATAAGGCAGCTGTGCTGACAGAAAAGTCAAAGATTAGCAAAAATGTGACATGATAATGACAAAGTTAAACATGATGATAATGACAACCATTCATTTATGTGATTAAAATGGGAAACTTATAATCTTAAAATAAGTCATAATCTTTTTTTTTTTTTTTTTTTTTTGAGACGGAATTTCGCTCTTGTTACCCAGGCTGGAGTGCAATGGCGCGATCTCGGCTCACCGCAACCTCTGCCTCCTGGGTTCAGGCAATTCTCCTGCCTCAGCCTCCTGAGTAGCTGGGATTACAGGCACGTGCCACCATGCCCAGTTAATTTTTTGTATTTTTAGTAGAGACGGGGTTTCACCATGTTGACCAGGATGGTCTCGATCTCTTGACCTCGTGATCCACCCGCCTTGGCCTCCCAAAGTGCTGGGATTACAGGCTTGAGCCACCGTGCCCGGCCTATAAGTCATAATCTTATGGCTAATTTTATTGCTTTGTGAAGGGCTTCACTCTGAATATGAACAAGTCTATCCACTGTCAGATGCAGTCTATATTAAGCCAAATGAACAATCGTATTGCAAGAAGTATACAAATGTGTTAAATACAATAGGATTCTTAAATACTCTAATGGTTGTAAATGTTAGTATTTAGCTAACATTTATCCAGTGCCTACAAGAGTACAAGGCACTGTTCTAAGCAATAAGGATGCGTAATGAACAAAGTAGACAAAAATTTCTGCATTATGGAGTTTGTATTCTAGTAGGGGTAAGGTTTGGACAGTCAGAAAATAAGATAAATAAATACATCAAATAGGTTAAAACTATAGGATTTTACAGATCACTGCTGTCCAATGGAAATACAATGTAAGCTATGTATGTAATTTTCAATTTCCCATTAGCCATATCAAAGTGTAAAAAAGGTGAAATTAAATTTTCATACTTTTAATTTTTGAATTATTTTTAATTTACAAAAAATTCCAAGGATATTAAATAGTACAGAGACTGCTGTATACCGTTCCTTCAGTTTTTCTGTTGTTAAGATCTTGCATTACTGTGATACATTTTTAAAACTAAGAAACCAAATTGGTACCTTATCATTAACTAAACCTCAGACTTTATTTGAATTTTACTAATTTTTCCATTAATGGCATCCTCCTGTTTCAGGATCCAGTTTATGATATCACAGTTCATTTAGTTGTCATGTCTCCTTAGTCTCATCTGGTCTGTGATGGGGTGGTATTAATTTTAATAATGTATTTTATTTAACTTAATATAGCAAAAATATCATTTTACTATTTTTAAAATTATCGATGTTTATTACTTTTTCATATTCAGTCTTCAAAAGCCAGAGTGTATTTTATACTTTACAGTGCATCACATTTCATACTCAGATACTTTCACTGGAACTACTTCATCTGCATTTGGATCTCACAAAATTTACAGTTGAAAAAGTAAGTTCATATACTTACGTTCTTCCAAGTATAAACATCTTCCAATAAATTCATGACTAATGCCAATTTAGAAAAAAGAAAGCAAAAAAAAAAAAAGTTTAAAAAGTTTAAAAATAATCCCATTAGGTATCAGTTTTCAAATTGAAATCTAAATTTAATTTGATTAAGGTTAATTGATTTAAAAATTCAGTTCCCAGTTGCACTAGACACATTCAAGTGCTCAATAGTCACATACGATCATAAGGACTTTTGGTTTTATTCCAAGCTAGAAAGGGAGCACTGATGGGTTTTGAGCAAAGTAGTAACATAATCTGATTTAAGATTACTTTGCTATGTCAGAGAATAAATTTAGGTGAAGCAGGGGCAGAAGCAGGGAGACCAGCCAGTAAGCTACTGCAGGTAGCATCAGGTAAGTGATGAAGATTCCTTGGACTAAAGTGGTAGCAGGAGAGGTGGGGAGAATGGGTAGGAGTCCAGGAATTTCTTGTGCTAGCCCTGAATCTGCTTATGAATTTGACAAGGAATCAGGGATGACACAAAGGTTTTGGGGCTAAAAAAACTTGGGACAATGAGTTTGTCTTTTATAGGTTTTGTTAAAAAACAGGTTTGGGGAGGAAGATCGGGGCTTGGTTTTGGACATTTTGAGTTCAAGATGCATATGAGACATGTAAGTGAAGATGTTAGTAAGTAGGCAGTGGATATTTGAGTATGGAGTTGAGGAGAGCTCAGCTGGTGATACACATTTGGGAGTCATTGACATATAGATGGAGATCACAAATGAGTGTACAGAAAGAAATGTTAGGGTGAGGTCATCCAGCAACAGTATTTTCAGGTAAATGCTTGCCGCAAACAGATCAAAGAGAATTGGAGGAATAATAAACTCTCTCCAGGCAAAAGCAGCATTAAATGCAATGATGCCAAGGTAAGTGATTAGCCAACCATGATATAGCAAGTCATTTTGCCCTGCTGAAGCAAAAATACTAGCTAGCTGACAAAGAAAGACGCATGAAGTGATTGAGAAGGGCTCTCATGCTTGCTAGGTGGCCATACAGAGCTGGGAATGTGAGGGTTCCAAGGACAGCTTTAGAGTTAACAAGTGACAGCTGCAGTTAGATTCCTATACATACACAAAACCAACCCGTCCTACCGCAGAACACGTTATTATGCTGGCACAACAGACACATCCCCTTTCGTTTTGCAGACGAGGAGTAACCGTTGCCCTGGACCACAAAGCCACTTAGCGGCAGAGCCTCGCACCCGCGAAGATTACTAGGGAGATGTTTTTACCCCTGAGGACACCTGAGCCCTTAAGTGGGGCAGGCTCGGAGGGAGGGGGGCTGATAAGGCGAGTTCAGGCAGGGCAATCATGATAGGCGTGTGAGTTCTGCTCAGAATTTTGACGAAAAGGAGGGTCTTGGCTTGAAGACAGAGCAAGGAGTCATTTAAGGATAGTGGAAGGGCATAAGCGGAAGCTCGGATAAAAAGCACTGAAATTCTTGAGCTGGCTGCAGGGCCGAACCTAGCTCTGTGAAAGATCCTTTCTGGCCACATCCTCTCTAAGCCAGGCTGTGAGGAACGCGGGGAACGAAGGAGAATGGTGGTGGTGGGGTCAGGAGGGGGCAGGCCCAAGGTGCATATTTTAGGTTCTGATGCTGGAAGCATCCTCCCGCGCCCCTGTATTCCTCTCACCGGCGAAGTTTGCCCGGGAGTGACTACCTCCCAGGCAAAAATTTAGCCTGGTTAAACTGGTAAGTGCAGGAAAGCCCGCCGACTGGCGTCCGGGGAACGCCTGCAGGGTAACAGCACCCGCCCAAGCGCCACAAGGGTGGGGGCCAAGGCCCGGGCTCTTCCGGGGCGAGCCTTGCCAAAAGCAGGAGGAGGGGCGGCCCGGCGGGCACGAACCAATCACTACAGACGCTTCCACGTGACTCGCATTGACCAATAGGAGGCCGTAGTGATAGCGACGGGGAAATTCAAACGTTTGCGGAAAGGAGTTTGGGTTCCATCTCTTCATATCCCCAGCTCCGCTTACTGTAGGTAAGTTCTGTGTCACCGGCGCACGGAGGAACTGCCGCAGCCGGTGTATGGGATCGTTATCAGCGCTGGTCGGTGAGGGGTGGGGCGAGGCGGGAGCAGCTCGGAGCCAGGTACGCGACGCGGCTAAACGAGCTGGAGGAGGAGGGGAGGTCTCGCTGCCTCCGCGGGTCTGGCGGGTGGGGCGGTGCAGGAGGTTTTCTTGAGGAAGAAGTGGGTGTGGTCCACGCTGGAAAGGAGGGGTGGTGGGGTACTTGCGCTCAAGATCGTTTTCAAAAGACAGTCTCTTTTGTTTGCCTGTTAAAACTGGGAAAGGAGAGGGTGGCCGTGATCTGAGTTACCTTTCAAATTTGACTTCAGAGGTGGAGTGGTATCGCTTGCTGAAACATTACAGCTTTTTAAAATTGTTAAAGCTGAAGACGGGGCAGTCACTCTCAGTCTGTCTTTGAGAGTAACAAAGATAGATTTAACAGGAAGACTGCATACACTTTATTGCACAAACAACACCACCATACAGATAAGCAAGTGCTCAGTACGAGTACTGTAGTTTCTTGGTATTGGATTAAGGTAGCAAATCATGATTCTGCCAGATATGCACAAGAATAAACCTGCGGATATCCTAATTATCAATAAAGTCCCATAATGTTCATAGTCTGTTTTGAAAGCACTCTCACTGTGAAGATTTACTCAAGTGAAGCAGACGAATAAAGGAATTCTTATTTCCATTGCCAAACGAATTCTTTGTCTATGTCACTGCCAGAATCCAAGCAATCTTTATGTGTATGTCACTACCAGAATCCAAGCATACACTCCATCATATTTTTTTAATGACTTAAATTTACAGATTTCTAGAGTGATTTCTAGAGTGTGGTGTCATTGATGTTATATTGGAGAAAAAAGTATACTTGGCCTATGAAACCTTGCTGAACAAATTAGAAAGATGTGTACCTTGTTGCGCATTTAGCTCCATTAATACTAGCCTTATAATAGCTGCGTTTAGGTGTGTTCACAAAACTAATGCTTTAGTCTTCTGGGTTCTGAAAAGCGCATTTTTTTTTTTTTTTTGCTTTGATGCTAGTTAAAATAGGAATTATGACTAGTTCAGTTTTTTTCTTAGAAATGGAGTCTGAGGATTTAAGTGGCAGAGAATTGACAATTGATTCCATAATGAACAAAGTGAGAGACATTAAAAATAAGTTTAAAAATGAAGACCTTACTGATGAGCTAAGCTTGAATAAAATTTCCACTGATACTACAGGTGAGTTTTTCTTTTCCTTTAAGTTAGTAACTGTTTGTTGAGTATCCTGTAAGGTAAAGAAATAGTACTAATCACATCATTTACAATTTACTCATGTGTTTATTGTCTTTGTCCTCCACTAGAATGTAGGCTACATGAGGGCAGGGTTTTTATCTATTAAATCCACAGAACTTTGAATGGCCCATGGCACATGGTAGGTACATAAACATTTATTGAACAATGATTAATGGGTGAAAGTGTCCGGAGTATAATACTCTAGCTCTGCTAAAAGTATTAGCTCTGAAGCCAGATTGTTAACTGTAGTTCAGATGATTGTGGTCATTTAAATGGTGACATTTGGATAATTTTGTTACATATATGCTAACCATTAAATAGATGAGGAATTGAAAATATATGGAAGAACCTGTGATCTAGTTATGGTGGCAGACTATGTTCGCTTTGAAAAAACCTAGACAATGATAGTTTCGGTGTTAAGCAGAGTGTTAATAGAGTATAATTTTAATTAATTATGTCACACTAACAAAGATTATACATCAAGACAATTGAGTATTTTAAGTATTGAGGAAGATTCAGAGATGCTTAAAACCATAGTTTCTTTCTAGATGAGAATTTATATTTTCACTATGCTACATTGTAATGCATGCCAGGCATCACAGGAATACTAGCATGATAAAACACAAATGTTATATTTGTTGATTAGAGGAAGAATAGGGTATTCAGGCATGAGGAATGCATCTGCAAAGCTACAGATGGCAATGTATATTTCTTTAGACATTTTCACAGACTAATTTCTTAGGAAAGCAATCGGAGATAAAACTAGAAAGTTAAGATCAGACCAAATTAAACTTCAGACGATAAAGCAAAGTTGTGCAAGCACTATATTTTAGTAGAAAGCAGAAACAAATTTTATTTATAAAAATAAAGTTTTGCTGATGGTGACTGAAGTTGATAGAAGGAATGATAGCTTCTCTGGAAATGTGAATTTAATAATGCTTAGTAATAATCGAAATATCCTGAAGAGAAGACTGACATTCAGGTTGTCTTTTTAAGAAGCGAATACTGAAGAGAGTAAAACGCACATTACAAGTGTGATAATTATGTCTGAAGGCTGTCCTTGCTGTTTCTGTAGGTAAGGGTTCCACAGAGAGAAACCTGACAGTCATAAGAGGTCCAATAAATTCCAATGCTCTAGACCGTGGTAGCTATGAGTTTGTTGGACCAAGAAATTATCAGGGCCTCTAGGAGAAATATAGGCTACTTGCAGAGAAGAAAATGATCATAACAGTTGTTTATTTTTTGTAAAGCTGATTTGGTTGTTTTACAAGTAAGTATGAGGTATACAGAGATAATGTTCGATGGGTAAGGTTGTAAAGAAGGTTATGTTAGGACTGGAGCAGTAAGTTTAATGAATAAGTCATTGATGGGAGAATTTTCTAGGAAAGTTAGTACAGGTGGTGGTGGGAGAAACTTAGTTTTCTTTGGATAGATAGGATGCTAAAATTATAATTATCCTGCAACAGCATAAGATTTCCTTAAACTATGTATAATTTTTAAAGGCTACTTAAAAAACACTTTCAATTTTTTTTCTTCCCATCAAAATATGTAGCTTTTGGATAACATATGTCTTCATAAAAGATAAATACATAGTAAATAAGTTACTTATGAATTTTTACAATTTTAAAAAGTATTACAAGGACTTTATGTACATTGATAGTAAGAGTACAAATGCTTGGCAATATTTTGAAGGAAAAATGCAATTTGGCATTTGTTTTATGTCTTCTGTTGTGATATATTTTGTTCCTCTTATTTAGATAACTCGGGAACTGTTAACCAAATTATGATGATGGCAAACAACCCAGAGGACTGGTTGAATTTGTTGCTCAAACTAGAGAAAAACAGTGTTCCTCTAAGTGATGTTCTTTTAAATAAATTGATTGGTCGTTACAGTCAAGCAATTGAAGCGCTTCCTCCAGATAAATATGGCCAAAATGAGAGTTTTGCTAGAATTCAAGTCAGATTTGCTGAATTAAAAGCGTAAGTATTAGCATTTTAACTATGTTTAACTATGTTACATAATATGTAACTGCATTGCAAAGAGAGAAAATAAAAGCATGTCAGTATTACTTGTGAGAAAATTAATATTTTTTAACCAAATGCTTTTGCTTATAATTAACAAGAGACTGATGTAAATTCTTTACTATGTACATGTTTCCACAAAAGTTTACTTATATTTTAAACTACCTGAAAAGATTTTGAAAAAATAACTTATTAGTATTTAATTTTATCCACAGAAAAAAGCAATACCCCAGGTCTTTTGGAAAACTTAATGAAGCATTATCAAATTTAAGTAGCTACGTTATTTTTCTTAAATTTTGACACAGTCTTTTATTACAGTATTCAAGAACCAGATGATGCACGTGACTACTTTCAAATGGCCAGAGCAAACTGCAAGAAATTTGCTTTTGTTCATGTATCTTTTGCACAATTTGAACTGTCACAAGGTAATCTGAAAATGTCAAATTCAAATTTTAAGTAAAGGGTAACTTACTGCAACTTACATCCTAATATTAAATCATATATATGAAGTGGAAATTAAGGCAAAAGACATTAAAGTTGATCAGATGAGAATATGGGGCGGTGGGGGTAGGGAAATGCCACCTAAACGTAAATGCAGAGAATATCTGTTACACTAGCCTTTCCGTGTATAAAGAATAATCCAGGGAAATGAGCGTGAACATTGTGTATGTGCTATTAGTTAAATTCAGGAAACATCTAAAGGAAAGTATCTTCTTCACTGAGTGTTTGTAAGATGAAGGATATAAGTTGGCAGATCAGGAGTTCGAGACCAACCTGACCAACATCATGAAACCCCGTATCTACTAAAAATAACAAAAAATTATGTGGGAGTGGTGCTTCAGCCTTCAGCTACTCGGAAGGCTGAAGCAAGAGAATCCCTTGAACCCAGGAGGCGGAAGTTGCAGTGAGCCAAGATCTTACCACTGCATTCCAGCCTGGGCAACAGAGTAAGACTGTCTCAAAAAAAAAAAAAAAAAAAAAAGATACTTAAGCTAGAGCTTACATAAACTTTTCTTATGCTATGGCTTCATAGCACCAAAATGTACATAAAAATGTAGCTGTATAACTTATAACTTGGTGGTCAAGTAAACTATAGAGAGAGAGAGGGAGATAGAGAGAGAGTGTGCGTGTAGCATTAATTGATAGTTCTTTAAAATAAAAAAGTAAACTGCTGCAGAAATTCTTTCTTGCTCACTTGGTTCTTCATAGTCTGGATTTTTTGGGTAGGACCATGATAATCTCTTCCTCAGACATTTTTAACCTGGCTTTTCCTTAGTCTTTTCTCATTTTCTGGGGCCTTTGAATACACAGTCTGCCCTCTGGCCAGGTATTTCCATTCTCCCTCTGCCTTGTTTCCTCTGCAACTGTGATCCAATTTACTGCCAGTGATAAACATATTCACCCTAGCAGAATCCTCATGATGGTTTCCATAGCAGGGATTAGTCACTGGAGAGTATTCTCCAGGATTGAGGCTGGAGAAAAGAATTATATAGCTCAGAAATGATTTGAGAACCCTGAATTTTTACCTATTCAGATGACTTCTGAATAGGTCATCGTCTTCTCCAGTCTGTTCTTTGTACTATCAGGTTACTTTTTAAAACTGTTATCCCTTTCTTGCTTAGAAAAATTGATGCCTTCTTGCTTGTTAGAGAAAATTTGGCAAGATGTGTTTCTCTCCATTCTCCTTATTGTAGCCTCTCAATAACAACCACAAATTTTACACACATAAAGATTGAAATTCTTAAATTGAGTTATCTGTAAAAAAGACGAACTTTATCTGTACCACTTTATCTGTAATGTGATAGTAATGCACAGTGATGCAGTGTGGTCAAATGCATTGTACAGTAATGCGGTGTGGTCAGATTATGATTATTTTGAGCACAGTTGATGGCTTGGCTATCAGGAAATAATGCAACATCCCTGAAATCCTATGTACAGTCTGATGTGTATGTATTTTTATAGGGATGGGGAGGACATTTCAATTTTTACCAGATTTTTAAATCTCTGATCTCAATACTAAGCTCTCATTAATGAAGCTTCTTAATTCTAATCTAAGCCTTTCTCTCTTTCCTTGCGCTAAAATACACAATACATGAAATTCTACCACTATTCAATAAATGTAGGCTTAATCACTATCAAATATATTTTTAAAAATGTGTAAACTACCAGAAGCTAGAGGTCATTTCATAAGCATTTTTATACCCTAAGTGCCAAGTGCATAGCATAGCTCAGTGGTTCCCATAAGTGTTGATAATATTCTGTAAGATATGTGATGTATACATTTAATATTTATAAGTCAGATACTAGGTGTAAGTTTACCAATTTTTTTGGTAACTTGACCATACTCAGAAAGGTAATTATGATAGTTTCTCAGTTATTCTGCATTCTTTTGCAGGTTGGTATAGCTGCGATAGCTAAAGATTAATCTGTATTTGTTATGTTTTTTCCCCAAAAATCCTTTTGATGGAAGATGCTTTTTAAAAAAAGATATCATTCTTCCCTTAACTAAATGTCACTATGAATGATACTTATTACAGCATGTTGTAAGAGACTGGTGCTCTTGGCAGTTTTTTAACATCTAGAATACACTCCTGTTTCTAACTGTTGTGATTCGCCTTTGCTGTCCCCTCTTGGTAACTGCTTTGTTAACACTTCTGTTACTTCAGAAAGTGGATAGTAGTGATAAACGAATCCACAATTATGTCAGCTACGTATTTCAAGGAAACTATTTGGTATATATTGTTATCAGAGGAGAGTTGATTATCTGCAGAAGTAGTGAGAGATTGTTTATTTGCCTATGAAATAAAGTACATGAGACTTGGAATAAATATTTTTGCTTAAGTCTTTTTAAAACTTTCCTAGGTCCTGATGAATAAGTATCTGGGTGGTGGGTGAAAATTACTGGCTAAAAATGACAGTAATTTTTTGCTTTGTTAGGTAATTTTAACAAAAGTAAACAACTTCTTCAAAAAGCTGTAGAACGCGGAGCAGTACCACTAGAAATGCTAGAAATTGCCCTCCGGAATTTAAACCTTCAAAAAAAGCAGCTGCTTTCAGAGGAGGAAAAGAAGACTTTATCATGTAAATATTAATGTATACTAATGCTTTTCTGTGATAGGTAGTACTTAAAGATTCAGGATTGTATTTTGTAGAAAAATATTATTTATTGTAGAATGGTCAAAATCTAAGATTAAATTGTAAAGGAGGTAAGACTTTGAGAAGTAAAAAAGTCTTTACAATCCTGTGCAAATTTATCTTTTTTTTTTTTTTTTTTTTTTTTTTTTTTGCTTTTAGAAATAGGGAATGTGCTTTTACTGTGGGGGAATAGTTATATAATTTAAGAGAATTTGAAGAAGTTGTTGCAGAATTATCTTGGTAACATCTTCGTGTCTGCATATCTTACTTGGGGACAAGTATTTACTATGAATTGACTTTTAAAATATTTGCAAGATTACTTTTTTGTACTTTTTTATTTCTTACAAATTTAATCATAGTTTCAAAATTTTTACAGCGTCTGCAGTATTAACTGCCCAAGAATCATTTTCCAGTTCACTTGGGCATTTACAGAATAAGGTCAACAGTTGTGATTCCAGAGGACAGGCTACTAAAGCCAGGTTTTTATATGGGTAAGGAAACTAAAGCAGTTTTCTTTGTAAATACGTGTGTGTTTTTTAATGTAACTACATGTAGCTACGTGTATGTTTTCATATATGTGATAATACTTTTTCGCAGTAGAGTAGAAGTACATATTAATATTATCCTTTGAAAAATTGGGGGTATTTTCTTTCTGTTTAGGGAGAACATGCCCCCACAAGATGCAGAAATAGGTTATCGGAATCCGTTGAAACACACTAACAAAACTAAACAGGTAAGTTATTTTCAATCTGCTTGATTAAGGTGGTGAAAGTTAGGTTTTTATTTCCTAGTTGGTTATTCAATCTTTCAAAATATTTTTAGTCATGCCCATTTGGAAGAGTCCCAGTTAACCTTCTAAATAGCCCAGATTATGATGTGAAGAGAGATGATTCAGTTGTACCAAGTTTTATAAAAAGGTATGTTGAATTTTAATTTTTAAGATTTGTTGTCCATATGTGAAGACTGATGGCAGAATGGTCTTAAAGTCTTTTACTGAGTAATAGTAATTATGATTAAATTTTTATTCAGCTTTAGAAGATAATAAGTCTAAATGCTATCAGGAACAAAGAAATGAGTGGAGAAAATGACTTTGCTTTTTCACTCATTAAATGTATTCATTAAAGGAACTTTAACAAATAGGAAAAAATATTAAGTCAGCATTAAGCTTAAAAGACTGATATTTGAGGATTTTTCACTTATGGGTAGGCTCTCTAATAAGAATCTCTTGCTGTTGTGTTTGAGAGTCTCCGTAACGGGTGGAAGGAGGTCTGGGAACAAATATTTGCTACGAATATTTCCAGGGGAGAATCACTGTTAGTGGGAAAGATGATTATTCATTCTTTTGCTTCAGTCTAAGCCTTCAAGAAGTGGGACCAATTAGGTAGAGATGAAATACTGTTTATTACATCCAGTGTGTGCCCCTTCCCTCAATTTGCATGTTTATTCCCTGTTAAGAAATGGGCATGTAGCATCTAGCTCAGCTAAAGGAGAGTTTTTTTGGTCTATTCTTAATTCTGATCACCATTTATAATACTGTTTATGTTGGAAAAGGCTCCTTACAGTCCAGAGAACCATTTTGCAAATTAACTTTAGAAATACAACAGACTTTTTTTAGTTAGCATCCTTTATAATTACATTTCTATTATATTTAGACTTGACTAAACGTTGACATTATTGACATTAAAAGAACATTTTGGTCATCGAGGTTAAGCTTTGAAGTCTTATCACTGTCATTTCATCTTGTTTGTCTCTATTTCAAATACCTAGCTCAAGAATAAAGGAAATGTTCTCCCACTCCCAAAAATTAAAAACAAAAGCAGAAAAACTGCAGCCATTTTCTTGGTTCCTATTATTGATAGACAGTGCTAGGTACTGTGAAGGCCCACAGAAGTGCTTATGCCCCGGTTCTTATCCTTTACCTATTTGTAATCAGAAATGTATTTTCATCTATATACTTTGCGTTTCCCACAGTCTAACCTTGATTCCAGTTGTTGCTTATTAGATAATAAAGAAGTAGGGAACCACCTATCTCTGCCACTTTTGTCATTGCCCAGCAACTAATTTTGTTAGCTAAGTCACCCTTGTATTGGAATTATGTCACTTTAAGAAATGTCTTTTTAAGAGATTTTTTTCAATAAAATGTATGTATATTGTTAAAAAGCCAACTTAAGATGAAAAACATTGAAAATATTTTTTTCAAATTTAATATTAAAATTATTTTGTTTCTTGGGTAAAAGACAGACCTCTAGATCAGGATGCCGAGATTTGGTTGTGCCTGGATCTAAACCAAGTGGAAATGATTCCTGTGAATTGAGAAATTTAAAGGTATTTTAATTCTATATCATTATATGAATTAAGGGTTCCTGATCTGGGAGGATCAGGATTCAGGGAGCTTTTTCTGGGGAAAGGACTTACAAGTAGTTCATATGTCTGCAGTAGTGTTCCAAGAGGTGTGGGACTGCCAGTGGGAAGTTTTTATTTCTCCAAGGTCAAGGTGGTAAAGCCAGGATCAACAATCTCTTAAGAGAATCATGAAGTAATATTTATAAGGGATGTGTTTAAGCAGATTAGTTGCCCTGGGTTTGGGAATACATGACTCGGGGAGCTATTGCCCCCAAGTTTTGTTTTTTGTTACGTTTAATCATATGATTCTGGTAAGACATCTTAGAAAAAAATGAGAGAGTAAATTGTATTGGGGCAGGGGTGAGGATATAAATAATCAATCCTGACCTCCTGAAATGGCAGAGCAACTTTGTGTGGACTTCAAAGAAAGGAAATAATTTTAGTTCATGGTACATTGTGATTTTTAGTGGCTATGCTCTTACTATAATTGAGTTAAACCCCTGGTATCATGATTTGGGTCTTTTCGATTTTATATTCTTTGTTAATGCCTCTCTCTTTCACGATCTATGCTTTAAGTATTAATTTTTTCTAATCCTGGCTGTCCTAGAGAACAGTGCATAATTGTGTCAAAAAGATTGCTTTCTGGATTTAGAGTAACTACTGTCTTAAGTTATACTGATATTAATTTTGACATGTTATTTTTGGTGATAAAATAGCAATCACAGTAACAAAATACTTAATTTTTTTTTCTTGTCACGAGGCATACTCTGTGTTGAATTCAAACTTTCCAACCCTTTGCATTTTTAAGTGAAATACATTTTAGCAATTGATTAATATATCCACTGAAAGTAAATTGGCCAGATTTATGGTTATGACCCTTCGCTAACTAGTAATTCAGGCAATTAACCTTTGCTGGACGTTTGTGAGTCTACATGTCATTACAACAGAAAATTTTACAAGCAATCTATATGTAGGTAAGACTTTACTATATTGAACAGTAAAAGAAATTAGTATTACTACTATTTATTGGACTTTATTTGATTTTCTTTTTCATGTAGTCTGTTCAAAATATTCATTTCAAAGAACCTTTGATGTCAGATGAAAAGAGTTCTGAATTTATTATTACTGATTCGATAACTCTGAAGAATAAAAATGAATCAAGTCTTCTAGCTAAATTAGAAGGTAAGAGTGTCTAAATCAGTAGACTTATTTCTTTAGTTAAGAAAACCGTTTGATAGCTTGAGAAAGCAGACCAACCACCTAAGAATTATGATGTGAAACTGTGTCTATGTTCTTTAATCTTGAATTTCAGTTCATTTATATAGGGTATATGAAAAGTATTGAATCCTGTAGCAAAGGAAGTTTATTTGCTAAAAGGTACATAAAAGAAAGAGTGGAGGGAAAATGCAATGGAACTGAGTTATTTTTCTCAGCGGGCTTGACAGATACTTTCTAGAAGAGATAAAGAAGCTGTTCTTATATGACAGCTCTCATCTTTTTTCAAGCATTTGGTTTTCCATTGCATGGGTACTGTGATAAATGTTCTCAGGATAGATAAGTGAATAAAAGAGTGTCCCAGGGAGGTTGCAGTTCAGTGTGGGAGATTCACAGAGATACATAAATATAATGCTGAATAGGCCGGGCGCGGTGGCTCACGCCTGTAATCCCAGCGCTTTGGGAGGCCAAGGCGGGTGGATCACGAGGTCAAGAGATCGAGACCATCCTGGTCAACATGGTGAAACCCCGTCTCTACTAAAAATACAAAAAATTAGCTGGGCGTGGTGGCGCGTGCCTGTAATCCCAGCTACTCAGGAGGCTGAGGCAGTAGAATTGCCTGAACCCAGGAGGCGGAGGTTGCAGTGAGCCGAGATTGCGCCATTGCACTCCAGCCTGGGTAACAAGAGCGAAACTCCGTCTCAAAAAAAAAAATAATAATAATAATAATGCTGAATAAAGTATAGAGATTGTCATGAGAGCCACATAACTGAAATGCTATGAGAATTCAGAAGAGGGAGAAATTAAGGAACTAATTTTGAAGAAATAAGGAAATATTTTGTGGTGATGGCGAAGTTTGAAGAAACAAATTAGGATTTAAATGGGGGGAAATCATAGAGTATTTCAGATGAAGAGGATGACATAGACAAAGAATAAAATGTTTCAGGAACAAGAGACTGTCTAGTTATGCTGCAAGCTGTAACATGGTAGTATGCAAATACGAAATAAGACTAGGTGGACTTCGAATGTCATTAGATTTTTTTTTAGAATTCAGGGTACCATTAAAGATATTTAAACAGATCGTTAATAGGATGATCATTGTCTAGATAGAAGTTGCCAGATTGGATGTATTAATTTTTTATTTGTTTTAATAGGACTGAGGGGGAACTTTGGTACAAAGTGAGGCTTGCTCTAATGTTTGCCAGGGACTTTGCTGAAAGTCAATTGTCCAAAGAATGCCTCAGTCCCAGGCAAACAGGGACATACACAAAAAAACATTATTTTGGTTGGGAACAGATTCTTATTCCTAGCATTTGGTGGAAAGTGTTTACATTTCATATTTTCTTGCCATCTATCATAATGGGTATGATTAAGAAAATAATCTTTATCAAATATGCTTGTTAATAGTACTCTTAATACCTAATTTAATGTTTTTAAATGAATGCTATTGTCTACCAGTAATACTTATTAATATAGTAAAGGATACAGTCAGAAAGCTGCCAAAATCACAAGAGTGCGCCCAATGAAATAACACAAGTGAACGCATACTTGTAACCAATACCCAGATCAAAAAGTAGAACATTGCTAGCACTTCAGTAACCTCCTTGATCCCCCTTCTAATCAGTACCTCTCTTCTTCCAAATGTAATCATTTTCTGATTTCTGACACCACAGAATGAAATAATACAGGGTGTATTCTTGTGTTTGCTCCCTCACTGTTGTGTATGGAACTCATCCATTTTTTATGATGTATACTCTGTTGATTTTTCTAGCCATATAGTATTTAATTAGTGTAAATATACTGTAATTTGTTTATTCACATGTACATGGATAACAGTTTTTTGTCTAGTGAATAATGCTGCTATGAATATTTTGGTGTCTTTTGATTCACATTTGTACAAATTTCTGTTGAGTGTATTCTAAGAGTGGGATTGTTGGGTCATAGGATATGCATGTATTCAGCTTTGGAAGATAGTGCCTAATGGTCTGAAAAGTGGTTGTACTAACCTTAGACCAGCAGTTAAGTTGCTCCTGCTCCTGTTCTTTGCAGTCATTGTATTGTTGGCTTTTAATTTTAGGCATTCTGATGCTGTCTAGTGGTATCTGTCTCATTGTGGTTTTAATTTGCATTTCGTATTTCCTTAATGTCTGCTATTGAACATTTGTTTCATGTATGTATTGGCCATGTGGATACTCTCTTGTAACATACTGCCACTGTGTCACCCAGGTTGCAGTCTTGCTGAATTTTCTGGTTTTTTTTTTTTCTTTCTTTCTTTCTTTCATTGATTTTTAAGAGGTAATTATATGATCTGGGTATAAATCATTAGTTGGAATATGTGTTTGTAAGGGAAAAAACATAATTATTTTTCTTTCCCTTTTTAGCTTCTTAGTTGAGACACTCTCCTGCAAATACAAGTCTGATTAACAATAGAAAAACAAGCAGAAGTTTGTTAACATGTGCTCTACCCATCACCTGGGAGGGTTCACCTCAGAAGTATTTCTTTCGCAGCAGTGGATTTGATTAAATGGTATTTTAACAAAGAGCCATAAATCTTAACTATTGGCAAGACAAAGGAGAGAATAGTTCCAATCTTTAAAAGCAAGAACATGTGGAAAGATAGTAAAATTTGTTCCCACATTTTTCCGGTGCCTGCTGGTGCTTTCTAGCCCAAGAAGCAAGTGTTTTCTCCAGTAAGGAAGTATTTATATCCTGCCATCAGGCCAGATAGTTCCATATTTTTTTTTTCTTTTTTTTTTTGAGACAGAGTTTCTCTCTTGTCACCTAGGCTGGAGTGCAGTGGTGCAATCTCAGCTCACTGCAACATCCACCTCTGTGGTTCAAGTGACTCTCCTGCCTCGGCCTCCCATGTAGCGGGATTACAGGCATGTACCACCACACCCATTGTATTTCTTGTAGAGACAGGGTTTTGTATTTTTCGTAGATACGAGGTTTTGTCATGTTGGGCAGGCTCGTCTCCAACTCCTCACCTCAGGTGATCTGCCTGCCTCGGCTTCCCAAAGTGTTGGGATTACGGGCGTAAGCCACTGTGCCTAGCCAATATTTCCATAATTTTTAGATGTATCATTTTATCTTTCATCTTCTGGTTTATATTTTTGCTGAGTTTAATGTTTACATATGTGTAAGATCAAGTGTCAGGTTTCATTATTTTTCTCGTAATGGATATCCAGTTGACCTAGCACCATTTATTGAAAATATCCTCCTTTAGGCTAGGTGCAGTGGCTCATGCCTGTAATCCCAGCACTTTGGGAGGCTGAGGCGGGTGGATCACGAGGTCAGGAGATCGAGACCATCCTGGCTGACATGGTGAAACCCTGTCTCTACTAAAAATACAAAAAATTAGCCGGGCATGGTGGTGTACGCCTGTAGTCCCAGCTACTTGGGAGGTTAAGGCAGGAGAAGTGCTTGAACCTGAGAGGCTGAGGTTGCAGTGAGCCGAGATCATACCACTGCACTCCAGCCTGGGCGACAGAGAGAGACTCTGTCTCTAAAGAATAAAGAAAAAAAAATCTTCCTTTATCTCACTGACTTGTAAATTAGTAGATTCTATGTATGGTTTCTGGCTTTGGATTCTTTTCCATTCCATATTCGTTTTTGTCTTTTTATTTTTTTGAGACAGGGTCTTGCTCTGTCATCCAAATTGCAGTACAGTGGTGTGATCACAGCTTATTGCAACCTCTGCCTCCTGGGCACAAGTGATCCTTCTACCTCAGCCTACTGAGTAACCTGGGACCTATAGGCATGTGCCACCATGCCTGGCTCATTTTTAAATTTGTTGTAGAGACAGGGTCTTGCTGTGTTGCCCAGGCTGATCTCAAACTCCTGAGCTCAAGCAGTCTGCCCACCTTAGCTTCCCAAAGTGCTGGGATTAAAAGCATAAGCCACCATACCAGGCCTAATGCTATCTTAATAACTGCACTAAGTCTTGATATCTATCAGTGTAAATTTTTTGACTTTGTTCTTCAAGACTATTTTGGCTATTCCTGGCCTTTGGATTTCCATGTAAATACTAGCATCTATGTTTTGGTTACTACTTTTAAAAATTGGGATTGTGATTGATATTTGATTGAACCTATAAAGAAATTTGGGAGAAATTGACATCTTTACAATTAAGTTTTATAGCTGAATAACCTAGCATATCTTTTCATTCATTTAAAGTAATGAGAGAATTCTTTTCTGTGTAGACATCTTGTGTACCTTTTGCTAGAGTTATTCTTCAATATGTTGGTTTTTTTTTTAATATACTTTAAGCTCTTAGGTACAAGTACAGAACGTGCAGGTTTGTTACATAGATATACATGTGCCATGGCAGTTGGCGGCATCCATTACCCCTTCATCTACATTAGGTATTTCTCCTAATTTTATTCCTCCCCTAGCCCCTCACCCCCTGACAGGCCCCTGTGTGTGATGTTCCCCTCCTGTGTTGATGTGTTCTTATTGTTCAACTCCCACTTATGAATGAGAACAAGCAGTGTTTGGTGTTCTGTTCTTGTATTAGTTTGCTGAGAAGGATGGTTTCCAGCTTCATCTATGTCCCTGCAAAGGACATGAACTCTTCCTTTTTTAGCCTACCAACCATATAAAGTCAAGAACCAGATAGATTCACAGCCAAATCCTACCAGAGGTACACAAAGAGGAGTTGGTACCATTCCTTCTGTAACTATTCCAAACAATTGAACAAGAGGGAATCCTCTCTAATTCATTTTATGAGGCCAACATCATCCTGATACCAAAACGTGGCAGTGACACAACAAAAAAAGAAAATTTCATGCCAACATCCATGATGAACATCAATGCGAAAATCCTCAATAAAATACTGGCAAACCAAATCCAACAGCACATCAAAAAGCTTATCCACCAAGATCAAGTCAGCCTCATTCCTGGGATGCCGGGCTGGTTCAACACATGCAAATCAAAACATAATCCATCACATAAACAGAACCAAAGAC